GTTGTTGAGTTTTTCTTTATCATTGCTGATTTTCTGTCTAGTTCTATACCTCTCTGTAATTGTGGGTTTACCTATTTTTATTCCTGTCAGTGTTACTTCATATATTTTGTAGCTTTTGTTTGGTGCATACACATTGATAATTGCTATGTCTTGGTGGTTAATCCTGTGTCATTAAATAAGGTATCTTTTTGTGTTTTGTAATTTTTTCTTTTTTGCTTTGGAGTCCGCTTTATCTGATATTAACTACTGCTTTTTTTTGATTAATTTTTGTATAACATATCCTGCTGTCCTTTTACACTCAGCTAGCTTGTATCACTGTATTTAGAATGAGTTATTTTGTGGACTCCATATAGGTTGGTCATATCTACCTGTATACTCTGCCTGTCTCTGTCTTTGAGTGCATTTATATAATTTACATTTAGTGTAATTATTGATGTATTAGGATTTAAGTCTGCCATTTTATTTTGTTATGTTCTGTTCCCGTTTTCTCTATAAAATAATTTTTTATTTTTCTCTTTTCTTTGTCCTGCCTTCTTGTGGTTTAATTGAAATTTTGAAAAGAATTCCATTTTCACATGTACACATGTCTAGATATATAGTGTTTTTGAATGTATCCCTTTGTAGAGCTCTTTTAGTAGTTACCCCTAGGCTTATATCATATATGCAGAACTTATAGTCAGCTGTTGTTGTCATTTTTTCCAATGGAGTAAATTATAGAAACGTTATCTTCTTTTATATCACTTTACCTCTTTGATAATATAATTGTATCAGTTATTTTTCTACATAAACTAAGAATCATATAAGTTAGTACTATAGTTTTTGCTTCAACCATCAAATCTAATTAAGAAAATTCAAGAGAAAAATGAAAGTCTATTATATTTACCCATGGATTTGCTTACATTTTTTTCTTCTTAGTGTAGTTCCATGGTTTTTTGTTTCATCATTTTCTTTCTGCTTAGAGAATTTTCTTTCACCTTTATTTTTAGGGTATTTCTGTTGGTGACAAATTATTTTCATTTTCCTTCATCTGAAAATGTTTTGATTTCTCTTCCATGCCTGAAATGTATTTTTGGTAGGTATAAGATTCTAGATTGACAATGCTTTCCTTTCAGCATTTGACAAATGTGCCACTTCCTTCTGTCTTCTATATTTTCAGTGAAAATTATAGGAATTTGTATTTTAAATATTTTATACGCATTTTTCAAAAATCTAGAATGTAAAATACATGTAACATTTACCATGAGTGACGTTTAGTACATTCATAATGTTTTACAAACATCACCATTATTATGCTCCAAAATGTTTTCATTTCCACAAACAGAAACTTCCAAGCCCCTTAAGCAGTCACGTTTTTTCATCCTCCTGCTCCTGACAACCATTTGACTTCTTTCTGTCTCTGTGTATTTGCCTATTCTGAATATTTCGTGTACCTGAAATTATGTAATAGGTGTCTTTTGCATCTGTCTTCTTTCATTCAGCATATTGTTTTCTGAGTTCATTCATGTACATTCCTTTTTGTGACTGAATAATGTTTCACTGCAAGTATACACCATTCTTTTTTTTTTTATTTTTGAGATGGAGTCTCGCTCTGTCTCCCAGGCTGGAGTGCAGTGGCGCCATCTCACCTTACTGCAACCTCCACCTCCTGAGTTCAAGCGATTCTCCTGTCTCAGCCCCCTGAGTAGCTAGGATTACAGGCACCCGCCACCATGCCCAGCTAATTTTTGTATTTTTAGTAAAGACAGGATTTTGCCATGCTGGCAAAGCTGGTCTCAAACTCCTGACCTCAGGTGATCTGCCCGCATTGGCCTCCCAAAGTGCTGAGATTATAGGCGTGAGCCACCGTGCCCGGCTGGATATATACCATTCAATAATATGAACAGCTCATTTATTTATCAGTTGATGGACATTTGGGTTGTCAACAGCTTTTGGCTATTGTGACTGGTGCTGCTATCTTTTATGGTTTCGATGAAAAATTAATTAATATAATTTTTTTCACTATAGGTAAAGTGTTGTTTCTCTCTTGTCAATTTTTTCTTTGCCCATAGTATTCCAAAATGACTATGTTGTAACTTGTTGTGTATTTCCTTGGTTTTCTTCCTGCTTGAGATTCATTCAACTTCTTGAATGTGTACCTTTATGTCTTTTTCCAAATTTGGAAGGTTTGTGTCATTTTTTAAATTTTACATTTCAAATTAGACTTTATTTTTTAAAGAGTTTTAGGTTTCCAGAAATATTGTGCAGAAAGTACAGGCTTTTCGTCTCCACCCCCCACTTCAGTTTTCCTATTATTAACATCCTGCATTAGTGTGGAACATTTGTTATAATGGATGAACCAGTATTGATACACTATTAATATTATTATTTACATTAGGGTTTACTCTTTGTGTTGTACAGTCCTAAGGGTTTTACCAAATGCATAGTGTTATGTAGCTGTCGTTACAGTACCATGCAGAATAGTTTCACTGCCCTAACAATGCCCTTGTGTGCCACCTGTTCATCCTTTCCCACTTCCCCTAGGAACCTTGGCAACAACTGTTTTTTTTACTGTCTCTATGGTTTTGCTTTTTCTAGAATATCATATAGGTGGAGTCATACAGTATGTAGCCTTTCAGATTGATTTCTTTCACTTAGCAATATGCAGTTAATGTTTTCCCTATGTTTTTGTGGCTTTATAGCTCATTTCTTTTTATTGCTGAATCATATTTCATTGTATGGATGTGCTACAGTTTGCTTATCCATTCACCTGTTGAAGGACATCATAGTTGCTTCCAAGTCTTGGCATTTATGAAGAAAAATGCTATAAGCTTTTGTATGCAGTTTTTTTGTATGGACATCAAATTTTCAACTCATTTGAGTAAATACTTAGGAGTGTAATTACTGGATCATATGGTAAGGCTATGTTTAGTTTTGTATGAAACTGCCAGAGTGTCTTTTAAAGTGACCATACCATTTTGTATTCCTACCAGCAATGAATGAGGTTGCGTCACATCCTCACTAGTATACCATTATTTCTTCATGTACTTTTTCAGTCCAGCTGTCCCGTGGGGCAGTTCTGATACCACCAGAGAAGGCTGATGGAGGGAGTCCTATTAATGCTGGTTAGGGGTGTAAGTCCAGATAATCCAGGCAATCTCCACTGCCACTGTGTGGTGGGAGCTTGTTACTAGCTACTGGAGAAGGTTTTCGGGTCCCCAAACAGCCAGCCACCTCTTATGCTACCCCAGTATGGGTCTGAGTGCTTCGTTACTGCCTGATGATGGTGAAAGTCTAGTATCTCCAATTGACCTTGCTTGTGTGGGTGGGGATTAGGTCACAGTTTTTTGGAGTTGGGGGCAGAAAGGGGTGCTGTTTGACAGCAGTATAGTGGTTATTGTTTAAAAGTTTTCTGTCTTAATAGGATGACCTTTTCCTGGTTCTTTGGCTAGAGAGAGCAAGTTTTTGTTGGAGTTTCTTTCTCTCTGTGCCTGTTGATGCTTCCAGGTTTCCAGCTTCTTCACTTTCAAATAGCCTGATATATATGCAAAAAGATAAACTAGGGAATTCACCACTATGTTTTTTTGTGTCTCCCACAATCCCTAGTTGGTCTGCCTTCTTCTCTCTACCTTTCAGAATATTTTTATTTTTGTTATGTATGTATATATATTCCAGAGTTTTTAGGTATGCACTAGGTGTTTATTTGGAGGAATACTGAAATGTATGTTTCTTTCATCTTCTCAGAAGTGTATGCTGAGCATGTATATTTTAAAGCTTTTTACTGTCAATTCCTTTTTTTAAAAGCAGATAAACAATAGTCATCATTTAGCTATGGTTACATGCGGTTGCATTTTAAATCCTTTTTTAAGTCCCTCTATTCTCCCATATTAGGATTTTACGTTAGCATATGCTCTTTTATTATGAGCCAACACACAGAATTTATTACTGTAGTCTAATTGCTTATAGCCTTCATTGGGATGATTATTGGTGGTAGTGTGGGCCACAGAGTATAAAAAATATTTAGGGTGTGTGTGTGTGTGTGTGTGTGTGTGTGTGTGTTTAAGACAGGTTCTTGCTCTGTCACATAGGCTGGAGTACAGTGGTGCTATGATAGCTCACTATAGCCCCAACTTCTGGGCTCAAGCCATCCTCCCAAGTAGCTAGGACTACAGGTGTGCACCTCAGCCTCCCAAGTAGCTAGGAGTACAGGTGTGCACCATCACACCTGGCTAACTTTTTAATTGTTTGTAGAGACAGGGTCTCCCTATGTTGCCCAGAGTTGTCATGGACTCCTGACCTTTAGCAGTCCTCCCATCTCAGCCTCCTAAAGCACTGGGATTACAAGCATGAGCCACCAAACCTGTAAGCCATTCATGTTTTATTTGAAGAGCATTTTATACATCAGGAGATGGGGTGAAACATTGACTGGAAAACGGACGTGTTTTTTTTTTGTTTTTTTTGTTTTTTTTTTTTTTAAAATACGCTACTTATTCTTTAGGGATTGGAATCAAATTATGGTAAATAACAAAGTAGAAACAGTTTTGGAAAGAGTAAAAGAAGACATATTTTAGAAGTTCTCGAGTTGATTTACTCCTGTGAACATTAATGTTAGCTAGAATCTGATGATTGTTTTTCCAGCTTAGAGCTAGATAATCTGTAAGTTGTTGGTTAGATGATGATACTAGTTTTGGAGATATGTGACAAGTTTTGTACATAATACTATATCTGGAGAGTGAATTGATGGACCATCTCTAATCTATAACTCTTTTAAAATTAAAATTTAAAGTTTTATTTTTGCAGTGCTAAAGATCATGGTTGTCTCCTGAGGATAGATTTTTATTGCATATGGCCATGAAATTCCTATCTAATATACTTTGTACAGCTCTGCATACTTAATGTGCAAAGTGGTTGCTGTAGCAGGAGATCTACTATGTTTCTGTGCTGAGATCTGATTGCTATTTTTGTATATATGAATGTTAATCACAGTTTATTTTTTCTAATGGGAAATATTTTCTCTTTTACAGGGGATCTTTCCTGCAAATTACATTCACTTGAAAAAGGCAATTGTCAGTAATAGGGGGTGAGTAATTGGCCTTACTAAATTTATTTACAATTTTTATAGGCTATAGAGGAGGATTGTTTTTCTTTTTGGTTCATAGTATAAAATATACCATTGACATATTTTCCTGGGAAAAATGTACATGCTTTATCATGTAATTCTAAGGGAATAATGTTTTCTTAAAATACAGACAACTTTAATCTGTTTTCTTGTATACGAAAGAAGTGACGTTAGCTGTGAATTTTATAAAATAGGCATGCAGTATGTTTTAAAAAATTAAGTACTATTTTGAGCATAGTCATTCATAGGGTAGGAGTTAAAGAAAAATATGTCATTTTGTTTTTACAAAGTGAAAGAGACTTTAAAAATTTTTTATTTGCAAGTTGAAATTGAAAAAGTTTAAAGGTGTACCTTAACCATAAGAAGACAATATAAAAACGGTTTATCACAAATTTTAAAAACAAAGCAATCTCCCTAAAAAGAGACAAGAAATAAATATATCAAAGTGTTACCACTTGTTTTTGCATGTTGGGAATATGAATGAGTTTTCAAAAAATTCTTTATTGTGTTCTGTTTTTAAAAATAGTAAGTATTATAGTTTTGATTTTATTTTTCAAAATTTATTATTTTAAAACACAAAATGTAGGTACTATATAATTTGTAACCAAGGTAGCTTCCTAAAGTAGAAATACTGTTCTTGACTGGAGGGTGAGTAAGCATCAGAGTAACCTTCTGGTCAGTTAGGGTTCATTCAGGAAAATAGAAACATGAGTCACTTTATGAGGTGGAATTTAATGTGGGAAATTATTTACACACGTTTGAAGAGTGAAAGAACAAAAGAGGAAATCCTGATGTAACCCATAGATTATAACTGCATAAAGCGGCCTACACATTAATGGTGGGGATACAAAAGATAGTGGGTTGGGGATACCGAAACCCAGGAACTCAGAAATTAGATCTAGAGACACTGGAGCTCAGAAATTTGAGGAGGAAATATCAAATAGCTACTGTTGGTATGTGTAAAGAAGGTGGTAATGAGGCTGTTTTGGGGAATGCCAAAAGCAACTGGAGGCTGGAACCAATTTTCACCGAAAGAACTTGTTTACAGGAACAGCAGGAAACACACTTCTTTACCTTCTTTTCCCCAGTATCTTTCTAATGCTCCCAGCTGGCAATGGAGACTGCAAAACACAGCTTGTGGATTTTAGCCTCATGATTAGTACTTAGAAGAATAGATTTGGAGATGATAGTTATTGTTAATTGTCTTGTATGCCTTCCAATATAAAATTTGTGTTGGGGAAATAGTAAGAATATAACTTGGAAGATTCTGATATGAATCCACAACTAGCATACTTCTTATTCTTCTCCTTCTCCTTTTACAAAACATGTAAAGCCATAAGGACATAAAAAAGAAAAACAACTTATACATCTCATGTTTATGAACCTTTGCGGCAAATAATCTGCCATCTCAAGTTTATAAGTAAGGACTATCAGAAGTATCGAGCCTGGATAGAAGTGTGAGAAAAGGAAAAGAGAGTATTTCGACTTGGGATTAGCAAAGCATATATTTTGGAAAGTGCTTAAAAACATTTTCTGAATGTGAATGGCTTACCACAAAATTCAGAAATAATATCCTTGATTTATCAGTAATGAGGCTGATCAGAGCTGAAAGTGGGCAGAAGCTATGAGGGACCAAGATGAGAAAAGGAGATATAGATAGTATCTAGGGATTCTGAAATAGAGTGCCTTAGAAAATACCAGCAAAATAATACACTTTCTGATGATAAGGAACTTACCCTAAGTTCATGAGTCATATGTCCCATTTATAATAGTTTCAAAGGACATTGGGGAACACTTTGCTAGCAGAAGAATCCCCACCTGGATTCAGTTTGCTTCAGGAAAGTAGAAGTGTTGTGGCTGTACATAAAATTACACACAGAGAAGCCATATTTGCTGGAAGTGGGATGTAAATCTTAGAAAGCTATTTAGAATTTACTTCCATATCCAAATGTCCAATAAGTTGGTGGTCCAGAATAAAAATTCTAAAATCTGGAGAAAATATTAAAAAACAATTGTCTACAGGCACTGGAGAACAATTGGTTGGGCAAGACCAATCTTGAGGGGCTGTGATCGTTGATGGAAGGGATGTGCACAAGGAGAGATTCATGTTTACTTTGGCCTTTTTCTCCAGAGAATTTTTCATTTTACTATATTGTAGTGGAATAGAACCCAACCAGAAAGTAGTAGTCTTTCATGACATCAGCAGTTTGGCAGAATAAGAAGTTTCAGCTCTCATCCCCCTACAGAAACACAGATTTAACAATGGTATACCAAGAAAAATACCTTTATAAGAGGTCCAGTATCCAGTGAAGAAGTTGCAGTACTCCAGAGGAGCACAAAACAGAGAGTAGACACATTGAAATGGCTAAGAAGAGCAATTTCACTCTTAGCTTTGTCAGTCCCTTCTCCCAGCTGGTTAAGAGAGAATTTGTCCCAGACTGTGACTCCTCCAGTGGGGCAAAGAACAAGTGGACTGTACAACAAACATCTCTAGCATTTGTGGGTGCTGCTTGAATGACCTCTTTCTATCCCACCTTATCCAGAGTGCTGGAGTAGCCAGCATAATTTAAACTTGCGGGGGAAGCTAAGAACAAAGAAAGGGAGTGAGAGGCTCACTGCAGCTTGCTTGTCTCTGCAAGATTGGAAAAAGTGCACAACCCTCACATTTCTGTAGGAGGGAGGGAGAGGAGTGGGAGCAGTAGCCCATCATTTCAGTGCCTCACTCTAGAGAAAAGTGGAGAGCAGGCAACTGTGGCCAGTAGAGCTCTGCAGGGTTGGGAGAAGGTGCATATCTGTGAATCTTCTGCTTCAGAAGGGAATGAGAAGAATGAAGCATGCATCCTGGAATTTTAGAGTACTGCCCTAGGGAAAAGAGATGGGCCTCTTACTGTGGCCATCATTTCTTTGTGAGATTGGGAGAAGGCACACAACCCTGAGACTCTCAGGATGGATGGTGGAATGAAGTGCGTACATTCATAGAATAGATTTGAGAGGTTCCCAGAATCTGGTTGAGCTGATTGGTTGAGGGTCTTTGTCTATTGAAGTCAGTCCATAAAGACTGGGAGGAGTGGTTGTTTCTTCAAATGTACAGGCCCCAGAGCAAAGCTGCAAGGAAGATGAAGAATCAGGAATACATGACACAATCAAAGGAACAAAATAAATATTCAATAACAGATCCTAAAGAAAAGGAGTTCTATAAATTGCCTACAAGACAACTCAAAATAATAGTCTTAAAGATTACTTAACTAAATGAGTTACAAGAGAACACAGATAGACAACTAAATTAAATGAGGAAAATGAAAAGTGAAAATCATGAGAATACCAACAAAGAGATAGAAACCATAGGAAAGCAAAGAACCAAATAAATTCTGGAGCTGAAGAATACAATAAATAATACAAAAATTCTATAGAGAACTTCAACAGCATTCTTGATCAAATAGAGGAGCGAGTCAACTTGAAGATAGGTCATTTGAAATGATTAATTCAGAGAATCAAAAAGGAGAAAGAGTGAAGAAATCCTAAGAAACTAAAAGGACACCATCAAGCAAACCAATATGCTCAATATGGGATTATCAGAAGGAGGGCAAGAGAGAGAGGAAGAGGGAGAGCAGGAAGAGAAATGAGCAGGAAACTTACAGTGGCTGAAAACTTCCCAGATCTGGGGAGGGAAATGAACATTGATCCTTGAAGTCCAAACAACCCTTTAAGAGGAATCCATGCTGAGATGCATTGTGGTCAAATTGCCAAATGTCAAAGAGAATTTTGAAAGTAGCAAGATGAAAAGGACTTGTCTTATATAAGAGAACTTCCATAAATCTGCTGTTAGCAGATTTCTCAGCCAAAACCTTATAGACCAGAAGGGAGCAGGATGATATATTTAAAATGCTGAAGGAAACAAAAAAACTGTCAGCCAGTACCCAGCAAAACTGTCCTTCAGAAATGAAGTAGAGAGAAAGGCTTTCCCAGATAAACAAAAGCTGAAGGAGTTCATCACCACTAGACCTGCCTTATAAAAAAATGCTAAAAGGAGTTCTTTGAGTTGAAACAAAATGATGCTACACAGCAACAAGAAAGCATACAGAAGTACACAATTCACAGGCAAGGGCAAATATATACACATATACAGAATATTTGAACACTGTAAAGATAGTATATAAACAATTTTAGTCTAAGAGTTAAAAGACAGCAGTATTAAGAATATAACTACAAAAATTTGTTAGTAGATGCACAATATAAAATATGTAAATTGTGTCATAAACAATAAAACATTTGTTGTGGGAATTAAAGTTGTCAGGTTTTTGTTTTTGATTTTTTTTTACAGCATGCAAATCTTTTAAGTTTAGCAAATACTACTTTTAAGGGAACTATGAATAATGATTGGTTCTGTTTACATAGTTGGTTAATTAAGCTTTATTCTTATATATTCTTCCCTTCTGTTAGGTCACACAACTCTTAAGTGTTAAAACAATGTTCTGTTGAATTCTAGGTCTCCCAGCTGTTTTTGACTATTTGGTCACAATTCCAAATTGTTATTCTGACTGCTAAGTGATTTATTTTCAAAGTATTCCTCAGTAATGTTAAAGGTCTAGTTTCTACCACTTCTTCTATTAAAGGAAATTTTAATTTTTTTTTATCAGTTGGGATAAAAGCTTCAAACAAAAAACATCAGAAATGAATCACATAAAAAAGTAATCTTAGTTTTTATTTCAACATCCATATGAAATGCTTAGTTACCTTTATTTTTCCTTTTTTTTTTTAAAGTTTGAAAAACTATTTTTTCCTTCAACTTTTATTTTAACTTCCAGGGTATAGGGTTCCAGAATGTGCAGGTTTGTTACATAGGTAAATGTGTACCATGGTGGTTTGCTGCACAGATCAACCCATCACCTAGGTATTAAGCCCAGCTTTCATTAGCTATTCTTTTTTCTTTTTTTTTAAAGGAAATTATATTTATTCAGGCC